GCTATGAATGATGAGATGGAGGCTCTTTATAGGAATGGAACCTGGGTTGTTACCGAATTACCAAAAAACAGAAAAGCTATAGGATGTAAGTGGGTCTACAAAATAAAATATAAATCTACTGGAGAGATTGAGCGATATAAGGCTATATTAGTTGCTAAGGGTTACAGTCAAAGAGAGGGTCTCGACTATGAAGAGACTTTCTCCCCTGTAGTTAAGATGGTAACTTTAAGGTGTGTCATTGCCTTAGCTGTTCAGTTTAATTGGCCCTTATATCAGTTGGATGTCAATAATGTTTTTTTGTATGGTGATTTGATTGAGGATGTGTATATGACGTTGCCTGAAGGTTATTACAATCCAAATGATAAACGTGTTTGCAAATTGGTAAAATCTTTATATGGTTTAAAACAGGCACCACGTCAGTGGTATGCAAAACTGTCATCCTGTTTAACTGAGAATGGTTTTGTTCAAAGCTTTAGTGATTACTCATTGTTCACTAAAAGAATTGGCCCTATATTTCTTGTGCTTCTTGTATATGTAGATGATATTATTATCACAGGAAATAACTTGAATGAAATAAATAAATTTAAAGAATTTCTAAAAGGCAAGTTTTTGATCAAAGATTTGGGCAAATTAAAATTCTTTCTAGGAATTGAAATTCTTAATTGTATAAATGGAGTTTTTATGTCTCAAAGAAAGTATTGTCTAGAATTATTAAATGATTCTTGTTATCTAGGATGTAAGCCTATAAGTACTCCTATGGAAATGAATTTAGTTATTTCTGATTCTAGTGATTCTAAAGACACTATGTTACATGATTATTCTGGCTATCAAAGGTTAATTGGTAGATTAATCTATCTTTTAGCAACTAGACCTGATATAGCTTTTGTTGTACATTGTTTGAGTCAATTTATGCATGCTCCAAAACAATCACACTTGAAACTTGCTTTAAGAATTCTTAGGTATCTCAAGCTTTCTCCTGGAAAAGGAGTCAGTTTTACAAGGTCAGAAAGTTTTACTTTGAATGCTTTTGTAGATGCAGACTGGGGTAAGTGTCTCTCATCTAGAAGGTCTGTGACTGGTTATTGTTTATTTCTGGGTAACTCAATGATTTCATGGAAAAGTAAGAAACAGAATACTGTTTCTCGTTCGTCCACGAAATCTGAATACAGAGCCATGTCATCTGTTTCCTGTGAAATTATTTGGGTGTTAAAAATTCTGTCTGACCTTGATATTAAAAATCTTCTTCCAGTTAATTTATTCTATGATAATAAATCCGCTATCCAAATTGCAAACAATCCAGTTTTTCATGAAAGAACAAAACATATTGAGATTGATATACATTTCATTCGTGAAAAAATTAATAGAGGGATTCTTAAAATAGTAAAAATTTCTTCTTCTGAGCAGACAGCTGATATTTTCACTAAAGCTCTCAATGTTAACCATCACAATTATCTGTGTTCAAAACTCAAAATGATTGACTTGTTCAAGAGTCAAGATTGAGGGCGGGTGTTGAAAGATGTTATTTTTTTACAATCTTGACTAACTTGAAATGTTGGCCTTGTTTGTTATTTGTTTAACAGAACAGGGTAGGTCTTGTAGATTACTCAAAGAATGTTTT